ATAAACTACATATTTATATTGATGCATTGTTTAAACCAAATTCAACTCAAAAAATAAGTGGTGCTAATATTCTTGTGCATATCCTTTCCTCCGAAATACTGTAATTTTGTCATAAGTTAATGAATTTAGTTTTAAACGTAGGCGCTTAAGCAAGCAAACCGTTTGCAACAATTTTTAGGTTTATTCTAGTGTCATTTCTGCGAATGTTAGCTTAATGAGTGAGGAAGGATATTCCAGCTCAGGTTGTGTACATGATGTTTGCGAAGATCTTCTAAAATACGCAAATGATGGGTACTTTTCGATGTCAGAGAAGGCTGAAGAACTTCTTCAGGTCCTTTCTAAAGAGCATCTACAGGCTCTGAGTATATGCATCCATGAAATTGCCTCGGGAAACTTCTTTGGGCCTACACTTCCTTCTGTTGGCACTTATTTTATTGATGGAATGGTTAATAGCCTTCCTACGGTGGCTCACAGCGACATACTTCAGGGAATGTATGCATCCAACCATAATGAACAGCAAAACATTGTTGTTAAACAAAAGTCTTTGAGTTCAAATACGATTGCATTCGAAGATGGAGAATTGATTAACAGCTTGCATTGCGTGCCTGGTGGCGTGAAATTGACTGGTGGTGGTGAAGCTCTTCCGATGAAACCGGTATGCGATAATGACCTCATGATTATTAGCTTTAAACGCAACATTGGTGAAGATCTGGTACGTCATCCCTTTTCATGGTCTTTCTATGCATTTTACCAACGATTTTGCTTTGAAATCATGTTCTGTTGCGCACCATAAGGGCATCACAATTGGACTCAAAGGGAGGGGACCATCGGTGGGATACGTACGCGACGTCTATGTGAAACGTGTGATGGTCGGTTCGCAGGTGGAGCGGTTCGGCCTCCTCGGCGAGGGCGACGTTATCCGCGAGGTCAATGGGGTCTCCATCGACAAGCCGGAGACTCTACAGGAACAAATAGCCAAATCACCCCCAACCGTAACATTGAAAATCATCCCCGCTCACAAGGATCATAAAGTCAAATCCCAGGTAGATACCCATCTCTATCTTTAGTCATTGTTTTCCGTGAGTGAGAAGGATGCAAAGTTTTCTAGGTCTTAGAACAACATAACTGCTTATCTTAAATTACGCTTTACTTGAAACTACCATGCGAGAATGAGGCCTTGCTGCTAACTGATTTAGCTCTACGTTCGGGCTCTCTTCACATATGAGCCAGAAAAGGATAATCTATTACCCTGTAAGGAGGCAGGTCTCCGATTTCAGTGCTATGACATCCTGCAAGTGCTTAACCAGTCAGATCCCAACTGGTGGCAGGTAACCTTTCTTCTTGCAGTCTTATTCTTTTCATGCTATTGTAAAATACACTCATTCACCTCAAATTTTTGAACTCTTTCACTTCCGATGAGTATCCCAGACATTTTTATCTCAGAGCATTTGAAAGTTAATTGTAACAACGACTAACCAAACAAAATATCTGAATGCTCAATTTTGCTTAGGTACCTTGTTCAATTCTAGCGTACTATATGTCATTCAAAGCGCAGTTTATTTGTAAATCCTTATATATAGGCTCGCCACTACGACTCCAATGAACATGCTGCCCTCATACCCTCCGATGCCCTGGAAGAAAGGCGCAAAGCTTTGATTGAAAGTCTCCCCGAGGCTAACACCTTTAGCTACAAGTTATTTAAGGGACTCGTAAGCAGCCAAAAAACAAAAAAGGTGGGTCACTTTGTTCGATTTCCCATTTGGCTAAAATGTGGAGAGTGGAGAGTTGTGGTCTCCATCATGCAACATCAGAGCTTAAACTGAGAGCAAATGCCGTAGCAATAATTAAGGCATTAAACACACAAATGCGCACAAATTCAGTGCAGTGGAAGCCATAATGCAGCAAGCTGAATCAATGAAAAACCCGCTTGATGAATAAGGTAACAACCAATAATATGACCAAAGTTTGGCTATAGTACAATCTTTTTATAATCCAAGATTTATCTACAGTTGACCTCATTGTACTCTGTCACCTCCCACCTCTTCTTCTCAGACTAAGGTCATTTTCAAAGCCAAGGACTTCGAAACCTTCGCATCCAAAAATGTTTGCGTATATGAAGAGGTGGCGCTGATATCAGGATTTCAGAGGCCTGTTATCTGTCTGCTCGGAGCTCCGGGTGTGGGGAGACAGACGCTTCGCGACATGCTTATCGAAGACAATCCTGAAAGATATGAACTAGCCATCCCCTGTATGCAACACCGCATTGAAATATATGCGGTCGAAAGGTCTAAGTGATTGAAATTCAAGCTTCTCTCTCCATGAATTTTATCCCATTTCAGATACATCCAGAGAGCGTCTCCCAGGCGAAGAGGACGGGGTAGATTTTTTTTTTGAAAAAGCTCAGAAAATGAAAGCCGGCTATCAACGAAATCACTTCATTGAGGTAAAGAGCACTTCTGTTCTGCACAAAATTTACTGAATGGTGAAATGGTATATTTACACTTCATTTCAAGGGTTCAACTATGGACATAACCAGTTTTGAATTGTTGGCTCTCTATCGTAGGGATGGGAATATGGAAAACATAGCCCCTTCCACGTCTTTGAGAACCCGATGATTAGATGAGCACTTGGCACTCCTCGGTCCTGACCATGAAATGAAATGAAAATTTCCAAAAAATTGAGGGTCGATAACTATCGGAATTGCAGACTTTGTTAATTATCGTCCCCGTTTGGTGCAGAATCTTTTACTAACGCTGCATTGCTGGATCTACACATCTTTTCAGAGGATCAAAAGATGGAATTTTTGAATGTCTGTCAAGTTTTACTGCTATTTACGTCGACACTCTTGTCACTGAGTTGTCTACAATTCAAAGGCGTCTATTTGTTTTCCTCCTTTTCTATCAGTTCGGAGAGTCGGATGGGATATTTTACGGCACGAAGGTAAAGACCCTGCGACGAATTGCACAATCGGGAAAGACGTGCCTTTTAGACTGCAGTCCATCTGCTGTCAGTCGTATTCGCACAGCTGAGTTCATGCCCTTCGTTGTCTTCCTCGCTGCACCCTCCTGCACCTGTATGAAAGCCATGTACGAGTACGGCCGCAGCATGGGTCTTACAGAGGCTTGGAAGCGCGTATGTTCATTCTCCTACTCTTTTAGCTTAATCGAGTAGCTGGCACCCTGATACTTAATCATCCGTGCTTTTAAAGCAAAACCTTCATTGTGTGATGGGTGTGCTTAAGTTGCTCTTCAGATTACCAAGTTAAGCAAGTTAGGAAGCTGGTTTTTAGAATCGTTCATTCCAAATCGTGAATCAAGAGCTTCCAATGAAAGGTTTGAAATATTAGGTTGCTAAAATCGCGTTAGCATTTCTACTAAATCAAACACTATATTTACAAATCAGCCTAAACCTTTTATCACTACCATTGTAATCTAGACATCGAAAAATTTGTCACATCACCATTTGCCCTAGCATCTGGACGCGCCATCTTTTTGAAACCATAAATGTTCAAGAATACTCGCGCTTCCTGTTAGATCAGAACTGTTCAACTGCATAGATTGTACACGT